AGCTCCCTGCAGCCTCAACCTCCTGGGCTCAGGTGATCCTTCTGCCTCAGCCTCCTGAGTAGCTGGAATGACAGGTGCACATCACCATGCTTGGCTAATTTTTTGTAAAGACAGGGCCTCACTCTGTTGCCCAGGCTGGTCTCGAACTCCTGGCCTTAAGTGATCCTCCCACCTTGGTCTCCCAAAGTGCTGGGATTACAGGCATGAACCACTGTGCCTGGCCTATTTTATTTTTTTAAATAAGTTGCATTTCCCCCCCTTTTGTGAAAACTGTCAACAAATTAACTCTTTTAACGAGGTGATCTCTGTAACAACACAACGGGGAAAAAAATGATTCGAATAATTTTATGTACTATACCAGTGGTTCTCTAAAGTTCTAGTCTCTACCTTCTAAGTATTTTATTGGTAAGAAGAAAAAAAGGCCAGGCACAGCGGCTCACACCTGCAATCCCAGCAGTTTGGGAGGCCGAGGAGGGCAGATCTCTTGAGGTCAGGAGTTCGAGACCAGCCTGGCCAACATGGTGAAACCCCATCTCTACTACAAATACAAAAATTAGCTGGGCATGGTGGCATGTGCCTATAATCCCAGTTACTCGATGGCTAAGACAGGAGAATTGCTTGAACTGGGGAGGTGGAAGTTGCGGTGAGCTGAGATTATGCCACTGCACCCCAGCCTGGGTGACTGAGTGAGAATCTGTCTCAAAAACAATTAAAAAAAAAAGTTCTAGTCTCCAGAGCAGCACCACCAGCAGCAGCAGCAGCATCATAAACTCATAAGTCAAAGAAACATGGATAAGTGTGATTATGTTAAAAACATACACACAGCCAAAACTACCAGAAGCAATATCAAAAGAAACGACCAAGGCAAAGGCAGCCTGCAAAGGGCGCATGTGCAGAGGGGCCTACATACAGACTCATTATCGGTAGCATGGCCTCCAACAGCATAGGGAGGAAAAAAGTGCCCTCCACTAGAAGGCTGATTGAATACATTATGGTACATCCAAACAATGGAACTTTATGCAGCTTCAAATGAGAATAACACAAGCATTGCCATATGTGGTAGAAAATGACTCAGATATATTATTAAGAGAATAACGCAACATACCAAAGTGTATATGTCATATGCTACTACTTGTACAAAAGTGGAGAGGGATTATATACTACGAGCTGTAGCTGCATATACTATCCCCCCAAAAAAAATAAAAAGAGAAATAGTGATTGCTTCTGGGATAAGCGGCAATCTGAGAACTGGGGTAAAAAGTAGCTTCAGGCTGGGCACAGTGGCTCACGCCTGTAATTCCAGCACTTTCTGAGGACAAGGCAGGTGGATCATCTGAGGCCAGGATATCGAGATCAGCCTGGGCAACATGGTGAAATCCTGTCTCTACTAAAAATACAAAAATTAGGCAGGCGTGGTGGCAGATGCCTATAATCCCAGCTACTTGGGAGGCTGAGGCAAGATAATCACTTGAACCCAGAAGGCGGAGGTTGCAGTGAGTGGAGATTGTGCCACTGCACTCCAGCCTGGGCAACAAAGTGAGACTCTGCCTCAAAAAAAAAAGAAAAGAAAAAGAAAAAAAAAAAAAAAACGGGCTGGCATGGGTGGAAGCTTAAGAGTTCAAGACCAGCTTGGACAACTCGGTGAAACCCCATCTCCACTAATATACAACAAAATTAGCTGGGCATGGCAGCATGTGCCTTGTAATCCTAGTTACTTAGGAGGCTGAGGCAGGAGAACTATTTGAACCCAGGAGGCAAAGGGTGCAGTGAGCCAAGATCGCGCCATTGCACTCCAGTCTGGGTGACAGTGTGAGACATCATCTCAAAAAAAACAAAAAAAAAGATTTCCTTCTTTGTCTGCAGAGTAGAAGATTTATGAAGACTCAAAAAGCACAATCTAAAAGAACAAAAGTGATATATTTACCTGCCTTAGGATGAAAGACTCACACTTCTGATTTCAAAGCTTATGGCAAAGCTACTGTAATCAAGACAGTGTAGTACTGGCATAAGGATGGACATACGGACATACAGATCAGTGGAAGAGAACTGAAAGACCAAAAACAGACCCTTACGTTTGTGAACAGTTGATTTTTGACAAGGGTACCAAGACAATTCAATGAGGAAAATACAGTTTTTCAACAAATAGTGCTGGAACAAACACATACCCATGTGCAAAAAACGAAATTTGGACCCCCACCTCGCATTATATACAGAATTAACTTAAAATGGGTTGAAGACCGAAACGTAAGATGTAAGAAAATCATAAGCTGGGCATGGTGGCTCATGCCTGTAATCCCAGCACTTTGGGAGGCTGAGGTGGGAGGGTTGCCTGAGCTCAGAGGAGTCTGAGACCAGCCTGGGCAACATAGTTAAGACCCGTCTCTTTAAAAAATAAAAAATTATAAAACTCTTAGAAGGAAACCTCAGAGTGAATCTTTGTGATCCTGGGGTAGACAACGGTTTCTCAGAGATGATACTGAAAGCACAAGTAACAAGAGGAAAACAGGATAAAAGGGACTTCATCAAAATGTAAAACTTTAGTGCATTGAACGACACCAATTTCACCAAGAAAGTGAAAAGAACTCACAGAACAAAAGAAAATATTTGGAAATCATATATCTGTAATCCCAGCTACTCAGGAAGCTGAGGCGGGAGAATCGCTTGAGCCCAGGAGGCAGAGGTTGCAGTGTGCCAAGATCGAGATCGCGCCACTGCACTCCAGGCTGGGTGACAAAGTGACAATCCGTCTCAAAAAAAAAAAAAAAAGACAGAATAACAAGTACGTCCATGGGGATATACAACTGGAACCCTCACACACTGTTGCTAGGAGTACAAACGGTACAGCTTCAGTGCAAAAGTTTCGCAGCTCCTCCAATTGTTAAATGTAGAGTTACCACGTGACTCAGCAATTCTATTCCTAGGGGTGTGTGTGTGTGTGCGTGTGTGTATTTATTTATTTATTTAAGACAGAGTTTCACTCTTGTTGCCCAGGCTGTAGTGCAATGGTGTAATCTCGGCTCACTGCAACCTCCACCTCCCAGGTTCAAGCGATTCTCCTGTCTTGGCCTCCCAAGTAGCTGGGATTACAGGCATGTGCCACCATGCCCGGCTAATTTTGTATTTTCAGTAAAGATGGAGTTTCTCCATGTTGGTCAGGCTGGTCTCGAACTCCCAACCTCAGGTGATCCGCCCACCTCAGCCTCCCAAAGTGCTAGGATCACAGGCGTGAGCCACCACGCCCAGTCTCTACTCCTAGGTATATCTAAGAGAAATGAAACCATACATCCACATAAAAACTTTTCACAATATTCACAGTATTGTGACAGCCAGAAAGTGGCAACAACCCATCAGATGTCCATCAACTGATGAATGATAATATCATTACAATGGGATACTATTCAGCAATATGAAGGAATGAAGGCCTCACACAGGCTTCAACCTGGATGAACCCTGAAAACATTATACTAAGTGAAGATGCCAGACACAAAGGACCACATATGTATTACAGGATTTCATTTCTAAGAAATCTCCAGAATAAGTTCAAAACCAGCCTGGACAACATAGTAAGATGCTGTCTCTCCAAAAAATAAAAATAGAAATAAAAGAAATTTTTAAAAGTTAGCCAAGTGTGGTGGCACATGCATGTAGTTCCAGCTACTCAAAATGCTCAGGCTGGAAGATCACTCAAGCCTAGGAGGTCAAGGCTGCAGTGAGGTATGATCATGTCACTGCATTCCAACCTGGGCAAAAGAGTGAGACTCTACCTCAAAAAAAGAAAAAAAGAAAACTCCAGAATAGGTGAATTCATACAGACTGAACTAGATTAGTGGCTGCCAGAGGCTGGGGGAAGGACAGATAGGGAAGGACTGCTACTGGGCATGGGAATTCTTTTTGGGATAGTTAAAATGTGCCATACTTAGATAGTGGAGATAGCTGCACAACTTTGTGAATACACTAAAAACCACTGGAATTTCACACCTTAAAGGAGAGAATTTCATGGCATTGTGAGTTTTGGTTCTGTTTTTATTTTTTTTTGAGATAGTGTCTCCCTCTGTCGCCCAAGCTGGAATGCAGTGGCGTGATCTCAGCTCACTGCAACCTCCACCTCCCAGGTTCAAGTGATTCTCCTGCCTCAGCCTCCTGAGTAGCTGGGACCACAGGCACCCACCACCACACCCGGCTAATTTTTGTATTTCTAGTAGAGACGGGGTTTCCCCATGTTTCCCAGGCTGGTCTCAAACTCCTGATCTCAGGTGATCCACCCGCCTCAGCCTCCTAAAGTGCTGGGATTATAGTCATGAGCCACTTAGCTCAGCCAGTATTGTGAATTATAATAAATAAAGCTATTATTTTAAAATTTAACTACTTTTAATGGGAAGTGTCTACATGATAAAAGACATTATACAGAAAGTTAAGCCGGGTACAGTGGCTCACGCCTGTAATCTCATCACTTAGGGAGGCCGAGGCGGGCGGATCACGAGGTCAAGAGATCAAGACCATCCTGGCAAACCAACATGGTGAAACCCCATGTGTACTAAAAATACAAAAATTATCTGGGCATAGTGGCACACGCCTCAGCTACTCAGGTGGCTGAGGCAGGAGAATCCCTTGAACCCAGGAGGTGGAGGTTCCAGTGAGCCGAGACCACACCACTGCGCTCCAGCCCAGGCGACAGAGCGAGACTCCATCTCAAAATAAAATAAAATAAAATAAAATAAAATAAAACAACAACAAAAAACAAAGTTGAAAGACAAGTCACAGACTGGGAAGATACTTGCAGCTTTTATAACCCATAATGGTCAACATCTAGAATATACGAAGAATTACTCAAAGAGAAAAAAATGGGCAAAGAAAACGAACAATTTTTTGAATAGAAAATCTGAAGCATCAGTAAACATATAAAATGGGACTCAGCTTCACAGTAATCAATACTGTGATACTTTCACACTCAGAAACTGGGCAAAAATTAATGCCTCAAGTTAAGGAAATGCCAAACTTACTTTGAACGCACCCTCTGATTCCATGGATAAGAGATCCCCATCGAATGGAATGAGATCTAAGCTGTACTCCTCCCTGTGAATAAAGGATCCCAAGACTCCCAGATCCTTCAATCGCTGTTCGCACAACAGGCTACGGCGTGGCACAAACAGAATATGAAAATCTCTCGTTGGGCCTCGTCTATCTTCACTGCAAAGGAAGCAACATTTGTTAGCTTATGAGCTCCTATAAGTCATAGACCACTTTGCTTTTTTTATCCCCACTGCCTGGCACACAGCAGGCACTAAATAAATGCTGGCTAGATAAATAATATAAATACTGACTCTCAGGCTGGGTGCAGTGGCCCACAACTGTAATCCCAACACTTTGGGAGGCCAAGGTGGGCAGATCACTTGAGGTCAGGAGTTCGAGACCAGCCTGGTCAAGAGGGTAAAACCCCATTTCTATAAAATATACAAAAATGGCCGGGCACAGTGTCTCACACCTGTAATCCCAGCACTCTGGGAGGCCCAGGCGGGCGGATCACAAGGTCAGGAGTTCGAGACCAGCCTAGTCAACATGGTGAAACCCCATCTCTATTAAAAATACCAAAAATTAGCCGGGCATGGTGGCAGGAACCTGTAATCCCAGCTACTCGGGAAGCTGAGGAAAGAGAATCACTTGAACCCGGGAGGCAGAGGTTGCAGTAAGCCAAGACCACGCCACTGCACTCCAGCCTGGGCAACAGAGTGAGATTCCATCCCAAAATAAAAAATAAAATAAAATATACAAAAATTAGCTGGGTATGGTGTGCCTGTAATCTCAGCTACTTGGGAGGCTAAGGCAGGAGAATTGCTTGAACCCTGGAGGCAGAGGTTGCAGTGAGCAGAGATCCCACCACTGCACTCCAGCCTGGGCAACAGAGTGAGACTGTGTCTCAAAAAAATAACCAAAAACTGACTCTCAGACAGAAAGTGTTACAGCTGTGCCCACTCTCTCTCTCTTTCTTCCCCGACAGGAAAGCAGCACTGAGTCCTGGCTAGAACTTTCTAGCATTCTCTTAAACCATTTATGGGGCATTAAAGCTCTCAGGTTTATTGAAATAGGGTATCTGTGTCTCACTAAAAACAAATGGTTCTTCAACCGAAGCAATGCAGCCAGAAAGAGTCTTAAATTAAAATGAAAGATCACTCTTGACTCCCGGCCTTACTCTCCTTGACAGAGGACTTCCAAAAATAGCGCACATGCTTTTAAGATTTTAGGGGCTGCAACAATCAATTGTACCACAGAGTGGAGACTGGGCTGCGAGCACTTCCTCTATAGACTGGATGCTATATTAAATTTTAATCAGCTTTTTTTTTTTTTGCTTATGAAATTCAAGTACATGCAGTATATTTAAAAATTACTGTTGGAGGTTTATTTTTTTAAACTAGGTCCTTTTTACTGACACAGGTTTAAGCTTTTGGCTATCCTGAAGGAATGGGGTTATAGGATAACCCTCCTCTCAAACTGCTGAGAACGACCTCCTAAGTTTCCCATCTTCTCTATTTTCAATTTTTGGGGGGTACATAGCAGGCACATGTATTTATGGGGTCCATGAGATGTTTTGATATGGGCATGCAGTGGGAAATAAGAACATCATGGAGAACAGGCGGGCACATCCTCTCAAGCACTTATTCTTTGAGTTACAAACAATCCAATTACACTCTTTTCTTTTTTTGAGATGGAGTCTCCCTCTGTCACCCAGGCTGGAGTGCAGTGGCGTGATCTCAGCTCACTGCAACCTCTGCCTCCTAGGTTCAAAAGATTATCATGCCTCAGTCTCCCGAGTAGCTGGGACTAAAGGCACACGCCACCACACCTGGCTAATTTTTGTATTTTTAGTAGAGACGGGGTTTCACTATGTTGGCCACGCTGGTCTCGAACCCCTGACCTCAAGTGATCCACCTGCTCTGGCCTCTCAAAATGCTGGGATTACAAGTGTGATCCACCATGCCCAGCCTCACTCTTCAAGTTTAAAAATATGTAATTAAGTTATTATTAACTATAGTCCCCCTGCTGTGCTATCAAATAGTAGGTCTTATTCATTCTATTTTTTTTGTACCCATTAACCATTTCCACCTTCCCCCAGCCCCCATCTTCTCTTTCATATTCTTCCATGCTTATCCCAGTTTTTCAAAAGACCACCTTGCACTGGCAAGAGTGAGGGTCTTCCATGAGAAGGAGCTCATACATTAAAAGCATCATATGGACCAAACTCTTTTAGATCAAACACAAGCTCTGAGATACCTGAGCACGTTTTCAGCAATTATATCCATCAACTCTAGCCTGGGTCTGACAAAAAAAATAATATTCTTGACATCAGCTGCCGGCAAACGATTCCCTTTAAGTGTGAACATTTTTTCCACTTCATGTTCCTAGGCAAACACATACACAAAAGGTTAACAGAAAGACTGAAATTTGCCTGTCATTTTCAGACTCAGAAATCATAAATACCCCCAATCAAGTGCACGTTAATATTTTAATATCGAAATTTAGATTCCCTCAAAGCCAAATACATAAAGGACAAAGTTTCAATATAAAGCCACTGGTTTTTTTTTTTTTTTTTTCTGAGACAGAGTCTCGCCCTGTCACCCAGGCCAGAGCGCAACGGCGCGATCTTGGCTCACTGCAGCCTCCGCCTCCTGGGTTCAAGTGATTCTCCTGCCTCAGCTTTCCGAGTATCTGGGATTACAGGTGCGCACCTCCGTGCCCAGCTAATTTTTGTATTTCTAGTAGAGACAGAGTTTCACCACAGCAGCCACGCTGGTCCTGAAGTCCTGACTTCGCAATCCACCCGCCTCGGCCTCCCAAAGTGCTGGGTTTACAGGCATGAGCCACCGCGCCCGGCCTTAAAGCCACTGTTACTGCATCAGCATTCAAATGATGCTTACATGATGAACTATCAAAGACACCAGGTAATGGTCACATAATGCTAGAATCAGTACAGAATCACTGGCCAATGGATACAAAATGTTAATCGGGCACTAGTATTAGTGTTTATAAAGACCAAACAGCCTTGCAAACCAATGATTCAGGAAGAAATATAAAATCCTATCATAACTGCTAAAGTACAGAATTATTAATCCCTTAACAAACCCCAAATAGCTCATTTACCTTCAATAGTGAATACTGTGCAATCAGGCCAAAGGGTCCAGTTAGGTATTCATCCCAAACTATTGCCTGTAAGAGGGGAGAAACATTCTCTTATTATAGTTAATATCAGGAATTTTAACAATATCAATAAAAAATTGCCTATCATAAACAGGAGGAATATTTGCTTCAAATTCTGGGTTAAAAAATTTTCTCTTAGTGTTACAAGGTTAAAATAACAATAAAGCAGAAAAAAGAATTTAAAAATGTTTGGGCTTTTGCTGTTATTTCATTTTTGAGACAGAGTCTTGAGTGTTGCCCAGGCTAGAGTACAGTGGTGTGATCTCGGCACACTGCAACCTCCGCCTCCAGGGTTCAAGTGATTCTTCTGCCTCAGCCTCCTGAGTAGCTGGGATTATAGGCATGCACCACCATGCCTGGCCAATTTTTGTACTTTTAGTAGAGATGAGGTTTCACTATGTTGCCCAGGCTGGTCTCGAACTCCTGACCTAAGGTGATCCACCCACCTTGTCCTTCCAAAGTGGTGGGATGACAAGCATGAGCCAATGCATGCGGCCGAATAAAAAAAAATTTAATTACTTCTGACCACATTCACATCCTTGTATATCTGTGTCATGGATTTATCAAATTGAGCTATATGGAAATTGTCAATTATACAGAATTAAAACCTACGATATAGGTATCACAAATCTTATTTGGGCAAAAGAGGATTTTTTTTTTTTTCTTTGGAGATGGGGCAGTGGTGGAATCACAGCTCACTGCAGCCTCGATTTCCTGGGCACAGATGATCTTCCTATCTCAGCCTCTGGAGTAACCGGGACTACAGGTGTGTGCCACCACATCAGGCTAATTTGTGTTTTAGTAGAGATGAGATTTCACCATGTTGCCTAGGCTGGTCTCCAACTCTGGGCTCAAGCGATCTGCCTGCTGTGGCCTCCCAAAGTGCTGGGATTACATTGCACTTCCTCTTCCACCACACCTGGCCAGAAGAGAAAATTCTTAAAAGCTCAGTAAGTTTAAGTAACTTTCCAAGGCCATATAGAGACCTCAGACCATACAGAGTGTAAGGGAGTGAGGACTCCAACCTAGGACTTTTTGACACCACGAGTCACTGCTCTGGACCCCTATGAGTATTTCTACTGCTTAACTCCAGTATAAATTTTTTTCTTAAACTAAAATATTTATTTAAATAATCGTACATTAACATTTAATTAAAAGAAATAATACAGAGCGAGCCCCTGTACACTTTGCTCAGTTTCCTCCAGGGGTAACATATTACAACCAGGAAATTGACATTGATAAAATCCATGATGTTATTCAGATTTCAGCATCCTTTGCTGAATTGAAACTGGACCCCTATGATGTAGCCTGTTTTTTTCTCTCAAAGGCTGCTAGCACCCACTCTACCTCTTCGGGTTCTGTTCTCTCCAAGACTGAGGCTCCCCAGTTCGACTTTTCACAGTTGTACTGTAACTTAGGGTGACGTATAAACCCTAAGGGGATGAAGGAGAAGTGACACCATTCAGAAGAAATCCTATAAATTCTCTGATCTAGTTCCTGACTCCCTTGTGAAAACGGTGCTACTAGATAAGTTATACTACCTTAGGAGGCCAGGTTAAAAGCCCAAATGATTACAACTTCTCTCTTAACACGCGTGAGCAGCAGGTTGCAAGGTGCTGGTGTTTCAAGACAGTTTCTAAGGTACGATTTGTACTGACACGTATGATCCCCGTAATGAATGGACACTGGACCATCCACATTGTTGGACCGCCCACCCGTCCGGTGCCTCGGCAGGCAGCAGAGGAAACACCTGACGTAAACCGGCTCATCAGCGGCTGGGCTATCACAGTGGCTTACTCTGCTCTCACAAAACAGTCGCGGTGCCACTCCGGGTCCAGGCCGTACGCCCAGGGCCCCCCCTTCATCGCTACAGGGGTGCAGGTAAAAGGGCCCCGAGGCTCGCCTCCTTGGAAGCCCCGGGGACCTCGTAAACCGCGAACTCAGGCGGCAGGGAACGGATTAAGCCAGGCCGGACCAAGGGAGGCGAGGGCGGTGTCGCTGCCTCCCGCCCCTCACCTTGCTTCCTGCGCACTTGTCCAGGAACTCGCGCAGCTCGCGGCGCACCGCCTCGCGCAGCACGTTTAGGTTCACTCGCCCGTAGGACAGGTGTGCCGCCATCTTGCCCCACCACCCCCTGCCCCACAACGCCAACCACGTCCGCCGGTTCCAACGGGAGGACCACTGACGCAGTCACGTGACAACGCGTCCACGTGACTGATGCGGCTGCGCATGCCAACTCGGAAAACGGAAGCTACCGGGTTGGGGTTCTACCTCGCCTGGCCCTAGTGTCCACCTCTTTCTTCTACCCCAGTGGTGGTTCAGATTCTCGCCAAGACCCAGGGCGCGTTTCAGAACCTGGTCACTCCAGGAGTCGTCCGGCGCTGAAAAGCGATTTTAAAGATCTGGAGTAGACCGGGCGCGGTGGCTTACGCCTGTAATCCCAGCACTTTAAGAGGCCGAGGTAGGAGTGATAGCTTGAGGCCGGGAGTCCGAGACCAGCCTGGGCCGACTTCGTCTCAAACAACAACAACAACAACAAACCAACCAACCAACCAACCAAACAAAACATTGACTCTCTCTTGTCCCTTTTAAAAATCGCGAATTTTTATTTGCAGCAAAGGTACTTGCTGTAAGATGATATCTTAAGGCCAAATTTGGATAGAAAAAAAAGCACATTTTTTTTGAGACGGTCTCACCCTGTCGCCCAGGCTGGAGTGCAGTGACGTGATCATAGCTCACTGCAGCCTCTACCTCCCGGGCTCAAGTGATCCTCCCACCTCAGCGCCGGAGTAGCTGGAAGCACGCCACCCACTGCTCAAATATTTTAAATTATAGCAGTCAGAAGGTTCTTAGCTTTGCACTAATCAAGGCTGTTTTGATTTGTGAGCTAAAATGTATGAGTATGGTGAGGAGTCGAGGGAATCTTGAGTGGACTTTTTTTTGGGGGGGGGAGGGGAGGTAATCCCTTCCTAACAGACTTTTACAGAGATGTGGCATTTCACACAAAACAGTATTGCTTCTGGAATCCAGGTCCCACCACTTGCCTCAGTAAAATTACTGTACCTCAGTAAAATCACTGTACCTCAGTAAAATCATGTTACCTCTGAGTTGTAGTGAGGACCAAAGAGGACATGAATTTCATCGTGTAGTCCACGTGAGAGGCTTAGCTGGGTGCCTGGAACTTAATTGCTCAATAAATTATTAATATTAGTAGAATATATGCGTTTCAATACTTTGGGGGTGGAAATGGGCTTTTTGGGATCTGGTCAAAGATGAAAATTTCCTTCTTTGAGTGCATAGCTTACCTTTTTTTGAGACGGAGTCTTGCTCTGTCACCCCGGCTGGAGTGCAGTGGCACCATCTCGGCTCACTGCAACCTCTGCCTCCTGAGTTCAAGCAATTCTCCTGCCTCAGCCTCCCGAGTAGCTGGGACTACAGGCATGTGCCACCACGCCTGGCTAATTTTTTGTATATTTTTAGTAGAGACGGGGTTTGACCGTGTTAGCCAGGATGGTCTCAATCTCCTGACCTCATGATTCGCCCACCTTGGCCTCCCAAAGTGCTGAGATTACAGGTGTGAGCCACCACGCCCAGCCCCCAATTTTTTCTTCTTTTTTTTTGGTGAGATGGAGTCTCGCTGTCGCCCAGGCTTCAGTGCAGTGGTGCAATCTTGGCTCACTGCAATCTCCGCCTCCCGGGTTCACGCCATTCTCCTGCCTCAGCCTCCCAAGTAGCTGGGACTACAGGCGCCCACCACCACACCCAGCTAATTTTTTATATTTATTGTAGAGATGGGGTTTCACCGTGTTAGCCAGGATGGTCTTGATCTCCTGACCTCGTGATCTGCCCACCTCTGCCTCCCAAAGTGCTGGGATTACAGGCGTGAGCCGCCGCGCCCAGCCAGCCACCAATTTCTTAAAAACCATTTAGTAACAAGACTGCAGTAGAAATTGCTATATGACTGTATAGGGTTTGATCATTTGAAGTAAAACCATTATGACAAACCTGAGAATATCAGTTTACTACCATTAGCAAAAAAGAATAGCCCTTTATTGGCTGGGCAAGTACAGCTCACACCTGTACTCCCAACACTGTAGGAGGCTGTGGTGGGAGGATCGCTTGAACCCAGGAGTTCAAAACCAGCCTGGGCAACATAGGGAGACTCACTCTCTACAAAAAAATTAAAAAATTAGCCAGGCGTTGTAATCCCAGCACTTTGGGAGGCCAAGGTGGGCGGATCACGGTCAGGAGATCGAGACCATCCTGGCTAACATGGTGAAACCCCGTCTCCACTAAAAATACAAAAAACTAACTGGGCGTGGTGGCAGATGCCTATAGTCCCAGCTACTGGGGAGGCTGAGGCAGGAAAATGGCGTCAACCTGGGAGGCGGAGCTTGCAGTGAGCTGAGATTGAGCCACTGCAGTCCAGCCTGGGCGACAGAGCAAGACTCCGTCTCGGGGAAAAAAAAAAAAAATTGGCAAGGTGTGGTGGCACTTGCCTGTAGTCCTAGCTACTTCAGTGGTTGAGGCGAGAGGATTGGTTGAGCCCAGGAATTGGAGGCTGCAGCAATCCACAGCCTGGGCAACAGAGTGAGACCCTGTCTCAAACAAAACCAAACCCACAAAACAAAAATGAATAACCATTTATTAAAGTAGATACAGAACACTTGTTTGGCCAAATTTTAATACTGCTTTACATGTTTTCTGTTTGTGAAACAATTTGTATTACATTTATAACCAAAAATTTCAACTGGTAACAGATTTAATATTCACTGTCAAACACACAGTTGATCATCTTGAGGGGAAAATACATCAAAGGCATATATACAATTATAGAAGTTCTTATTGTACATGTGGCATGGAAGATACATTTTATTCCTTTTTACATATTCTAGAAGACATTCAAATGAAGATAAATAGATTCAAACTGGTCGATAAACTGTTCTGGTGCTTTGAGGTCCTTCATTTTCTTTTTTGTGATAAGAAAATCCAAAATTATTAATGTTGAATTTCTCATCGTACATTCATCTAAAAACAGTAAAAAAAACTTGTAAAGGAAGATTGTAGACTGGTTAATTTAGGCGTTTTATACTGGCTTATTGTTAACTGACTGCTGGGGATACCTGCTAGAGAAGGAAACAAAATTGGAGAAAATTCCTCCAGTTATTTAAATCTGTTTAAGAAATAAAAGGAAAACAAACAAATGAAAATGTTGCAAAGCCGCATGATGCTATGTCTGGCCTAGTCCGTTATGTCCTAATGATCATTTTAAGTGTTTTCTTTTTCAAAAAGGTAAATATCCAAAAAGAAAGACACATTGTGTATGTTTTTTTTCCCAAAATATAGATTTTTAAAAAATATATACATATAATATATAGAAGCTGAAATTATGGAAAACTAATAAACAAAACACCACAGTAGATTAAGTGGGTGCAGCATATAGATTATCAAATGTCCCCACAGCAGTTTGGGGGCTTTCCCCTCCCTTTACCTGCTTCATGATTTTATAATCACACCTAAGTATTATCAAGCCTGAAACAAAGGCACTACTGATAACAGGTAGTGCAAAGAGCTCAGATATTTCTTTGAATAAGAATAAAATACTTTAAATGAGTAGATGAAAATGCAAAATGGCACATTTTTTCAACTCATTCCAGTGTCAAAGCTTAACCAAAAAATCTAAATATACAAATGCAGCCTGGAAATATTTTAGTGCAAATATGAAAAGTAACGGCATAATTTAAAGTTACTTAAATAAGGTATTATAAGGGTAGGGATTTTTCTATGAGGTCTAGGGACAATAAATGTAATGGCATCTGGTGCAATGTCTTCAAACTTGAAAATCAAGAAAACAAAATTCGAGGTGAAAACTCACCTACTAAATATTTATTCTTCTAACTCATAAGGGGAGACTAAAGGGCAATTTGTTGAAGATCAAAATATTTTCCTAGATTTGCTGATGGGGTAAAAAATACCATGAGTTCTCTTGGAGTCTGCACACACAATGCTGGTGTTACGCTGTGTCAGTGCGAGTGCATCTGAGAGAGCCGTGTCCTCCACTTGAGGCTTCATCAGAAGGTCTCGTCGTCATTGCAGTTGGTGGCCCAGTGTCCAAACATCTCACAGATTTCACAGTATGGGCGCTCCTCACCCCGACTGCCATGGTGTGTGGAATGGGGAGGGTCCTCTGACATCTGTGCCTGGGTAGGACAATCCTCTGTATCGTGGAGATCAAAGCAGTCACAAATGTCACAGAAGAGGCGAGGTTTCTTCTTGGACTGTTTCTCCTGATCATCGCTACAAATGTCAATGTGTGAAATCAGAAAATGAGTAAGAAGAAACTGAAGAGACAAGAACACTTGCAAAGAATTTAAAAAATTAAGCATGAACTAACTATGGTCAAGTCTGTGAGCCTCCAATATAAGTAGTACATTATTCCACATTTAAAGTTTTTTTGTTCGTTTGATTTTTTGAGATGCAGTCTCACTCTGTCACCCAGGCTGGAGTGCAGTGGCATGATCTTGGCTTACTGCAACCTCCGCCTCCTGGGTGCAAGCAATTCTCCTGCTTCAGCCTCCTGAGTAGCTGGGATTACAGGCGCGCACCACCCCCGTCAGCTAATTTTTTTGTATTTTTAGTAGAGATGGGGTTTTGCCAGGTTAGCCAAGTTGGTCTCGAACTCCTGACCCCAGGTGATCTGCCCACCTCGGCCTCCCAAAGTGCTGGGATCACAGGTGTGGCCACCATGCCAGCCTCACATTTAAAATTTTCACATCAAACCATTTGTAGTCTCCTCTCACTCACTTGCCAGATTTACGGAAATCTATTTATGGCAAAGGAACCGCAAAACAATTGGTTTTTTTTGTTGCGTCTTTTTACAATCCCCTAGAGAAGCTGATTTTAAAAACATATTTATTTTGATGAAACTAAGGTTCCAATCAGTATGGCTTTTTTTGAGACAAGGTCTTGCTCTGTCACTCAGGTTGGAGTACAGTGGCACAATCTTGGCTGACTGCACCCTCCACCTCCAAGGCTCAAGCAGTTCTCCTGCCTCAGCCTCCCAAGTAGCTGGGATTACAGGCATGCGCCACTATACCTGGCTAACTTTTGTATTTTTTGTAGAGACGAGGTTTCACTATGTTGGCCAGGCTGGTCTCGAACTCCTGACCTTAAGTGATCTGCCCGCCTTGGCCTCCCAAAGTGCTGGGATTACAGCAATCAGTATGTCTTCATATGAAATACCTGTCATAATTGTTCAGGTCATCCCCGTTCCCATTCAGGGCTGCTTCTGACATCATTTCCACCTTCATCTTGAGGTCTTGATTCTTCCTTTGAAGGTCCACTATTACTGAATTTAGGAAATCAATCTGATTTGTTAAAAAAAAAAAAAAAAAAAAAAAGATGTGTAAAATGTCAAGAATATATATAAGCTGAAGCATCAAGAAGTCATGAAGTTTATACCTTTAAGCTCTGGCGGCAAAATGTGCAGAAGGGGCCAACAGTGGCTATTAGGAACCCATGCTTTTCACTCTCCCCAAGGACAGGCATGCTGAGATTGTGTGAGTAAAGAGCTGAACTTAAATGAGGCTATGTCTAGGTGGTAAGACTATGGCAGTTTCTTTTACCCCCTCATACCTTTCAGATTTCTTCAAATGTTCCTGAGTAGATGCTATTTTATATTTAAAAAAACATTTAAATTACACTTCATTAAATGTTTCTAGGTATAACATGGGTAAAACTTCATTTCTTTTTGAGGCAAATGAAATTATTCTTTTTTTTTTTCTCGCTCTGTTTTCTAGGCTGGAGTGCAGTGTCAGGATCTCAGCTCACTGCAGCCTCTGTCTTTTGGGTTCAAGCGATTCTCCTGTCTCAGCCTCCTGAATGGCTGGGATTACAGGTACGTGCTACCATGCCTGTCTGATTTTTGTAGTTTTAGTAGAAACAGGGTTTCACTATGTTGGCCAGGCCAGGTGTCAAACTCCTGACCTCAGGTGATCCGCCCGCCTCGGCCTCCCAAAGTGCTGGGAATACAGGAGTGAGCCACTGTGCTGGGCCATGAAATTATTTATTTATTTATGAGACGGAGTCTTGCTCTGTTGCCCAGGCTGGAGTGCAATGGCTCGATCTTGGCTCACTGCAACTTCTGCCTCCCAGGTTCAAGTGATTCTCCTGCCTCAGCCTCCCTAGTAGCTGAGACTACAGGCACGCGCCACCACACCCGGCTAATTTTTCTATTTTTAATAGAGACGGGGTTTCCTCATATTGTCCAGACTGGTCTCAAACTTCTGACCTCGTGATCCGCCAGTCTTGGCCTCTCAAAGTGCTGGGATTACAGGCATGAGCCACCGCGCCCAGATGAAATTATTCCTAAACATCTAAGTCTGTGGGTTGGTGGAGTGCTATTGGTTCATGAAAAACTGTAAGAAACATTTTTTTTTTAATAGGAAAAATCTTGCATTCTCCAAAAGTCATCATCTTACATTTCTGAATATATGGGCACAAGTTTGTTTTCATTCTACCACATAAAAAATATTGGCCGGGCACGGTGGCTCACGCCTGTAATCCCAACACTTTGGCAGGCCGAGGCACGCAGATCACCTGAGGTCGGGAGTTCAAGACCAACATGGCCAACATAGTGATACCCTGTCTCTAGTAAAAATACAAAAATGAGCCAGGTGTGGTGGTGTATGCCTGTAGTCCCACCTACTCAGGAGGCTGAGGCTGGAGAATCGCTTGAACCCAGGAGGCGGATGTTGTAGTGAGCCATGACTACACCACTGCACTCCAGCCTGGGCAACAGAGCAAGACTCCATCTCAGATAAATACACACACACACACACACACACACACACACACACTGCATAAAAAGGTTAGTTCTTCCATTAAACTCTACAATACATCCAGGATTTTTCTTTTCTGTAGATTTGAAAAAGTCACATGGAAATTTCCTTCAGACTGTCATTTATCAACTGACTGGTAATGGTGGAGCAATAAGTAAACATGTCCTCAGGGAAAATGGAGAAAGCTAAAGCTCCCTCCCAACCGAGGAGAGACAGCCGAGCACGCCAACTAGGCGGTGTTCAGGTACCACCCAGAGGGCGAGCACCTGTGCCAAGAGCCCTGGGGCAGCAGGGACAACAAGATGGCCAACAGGAGGGACTGCTCTTGTCCTGAACATTTCCTTTCAAACGAAGGGCATTTTGACTTAAAAACAAAAAATTTCTTTCTTCTGCAAATAATAAAAACATCTCATTTCTCTAAATTGAAAGAACCCACTTTATAATATTTAAAATATATATAGATATACACATACATATATACATAAATATTTTACTTTTTAAAGAAATATTTGGTCTTTTTCTCCTGCTGGGGAGTTATGAAGCAAAGTTAGCAGTCACTGCAGTCCTTCTCTGCAGCATATCCCAGCATCATGGAGGCCACCTATGAAGGCAGACCTACTGAGTCTATCTTCACTTCTCAAAGTGCATTTTCTAAGTCATCATCATGTTAAGAGCTCCATTTGAGGACGAAGAAAAAGCCACAATACGGATGTAAGTATAGTGGGAAACTCTACACACACACACACACACGCACACACACACACACACACACACGTGTGCACGCAAATTAGGAAACATGAAACGAACCATTTGCTGATGGGAAGAAAAGTGTTGTCAGCAGCAGATGAACCAGACCGAAGCAGAAAGGAAGGGGGAAGAGAAGACACTGTTAGTTATTAAGCCCGGTAGACATACAAAGAGGACAATGCTAATCCATGGGAAGTTTGTACAATGTTGAATCGTTTCATGCCCCTCAAGGGGGGTGTCTGGCAACTAAAACCTCAAGGTGAGTTTTTCTTTTATTTAAAAATAAAATGTGGCTTTTGTACTTTTGAATTTTGAACATGACTAATACATACAAAATATATTATTAAAATTAAAAGATGGATGTTTATTGCTGTATACAATTATATTTCCAAATACAGAATAGTTTGCCTTTATATAACCCCTTTCTACAAATTTTTGTCTGTTTTGAGACAGGGCCTTGCTCTGTCACCCAGGCTGGAGTGCCCATGTTGCGCAGGCTGGTCTTGGGCTCGAGTGGTCTGCCTACCTTGGCCTACCAAAGTGCTGGGATTGCAGCTGTGAGCTGCTGTGCCCGGGCCCCCCACCCCACCTTTTTTTTTTTTTCTGAGACAGGTTCTTCCTTTGTCAGTGAGGCCTAAGTGCAGTGGCATGATCATGGCTCACTGCAGCCTCAACCTTCTGGACTGAAGTGATCCTCCTGCCTCAGCTTCTGGGGTAACTAGGACTACAGGAGCATGTCACCATGCCTCAGTAATTTTATTTTTTATAGAGATAAGGTCTTGCCATTGTTGCTCAGGCTGGTCTCGATCTTCTGATCTCAAGCAGTCCGCTTGCCACAGCCTTCCAAAGAGCTGGAATCATAGGCGTGAGCCCCTGCACCTGACCCAGGCCCTTAACATTTTTTTTAATTAATTAATTGTTTTGAGACAGGGTCTTGCTCTGTCACCCAGGCTGCAGGCTTTTTTTTTTTTTTTTTTTTGTAGAGATGAGGTCTCGCTATGTCCAGGTTGGTCTCAAACTTTTGAGCTCAAGCAATCATTGCACCTTGGCCTCCCAAAGTGCTGGAATTACAGGGATGAGCCACCATTCCTGGCCTAATCCCATTTTTAGTTTAAAACTAAAGTTGTTTTGTTAATTTTTGCTTTAAGAGACTGAGTTTTCAAGAAATCAGTCTTTTTAAGGTTAAGATGAGTAACCCTTTGACAGAGCAATTCTACTTCTAGGAATTCATGTTGCAGAAATACAAATACGTAAAATGATAGCTGCCCAAGATAATTCCTTACAGCATTGTTTATAATACACCCAAAGGATCAGAAACATCCCAAGGGTCATTGTCAACCAATAGGGAACTGACTAAATTATAGTAAATCCACGTAATGGAACACTACATAGCTATAAAAAAGATAAGTGCAGAACGGTTTATGTAGAGTATGCCATTATCTACGTTACAAAAGGGAGGGAAGACTGTATTAGTGTTGGCTTATATACACATTTTTTAAAAATCTCTGAAAAGGAAAGACACTAATAACAGTAATTAACTGTTTGCAGGGTTGAGAACTGAGCAGAAGAGAGAGAAGGTTTGGATATTTAATGTATGTATGTTTAATTCTGTTTAATGTTTGGACTAGAGGAATGTATTACCCATTCAAAAGACTAAATGATACAAAAGGCATCAAATGAGAAGGAAAATAAACCAAAAGACTCAATGATTTTGAAAAATAGCAAGAAAGCAAAGCAATAAGGCAGGAACATTACCTGACTCTCCTGGGCTCTTTCATCCTCGTCTGCCTGAGTGTCCGTATTACCTTGTATTTGAGAAAAAAAAAAAAAAAAGTGGAGGGAGAAGAGATGTATATTTTTAATCACAATCTAAACTGCAGGGAAAGGGCCTGTGTTCAAAACTCATTTTCCTGTGGACTTCCCAGATGCACCACTTTGAGCACATGTGGATGAGTTCCTGTCCCCTTGCGGGACCCTACAGGGTCTCACAGACACCAGCCCTGCCCTTCACGTCGTGCTCTCCCTCAGGCCTGCTAACTCCTGGGTAAGAATGCCTGTCACATCCATCTGAACGTACACAGGCAATCCACCCTTCTTCACCAAAGGGACCACCTCTTCTCCTGCACTGCTGTGTGCTTTAAGACCCCCCAGTCTGGATGGCAGCAGGCAGTCATCATCGTAGGTTTGTGACAACATTGACAGACCACAAGAAGGCCCAGGAATAGGGACGGCAGGCACGTGGGGTTAGCCCTCGATTGATTAAGTAGTGGAAGACCCTGAGGAGAGTCAGGGTCAGGGCAGCATGAGAGCTGTCTTCGAAGAGCATCTCTACTAGAAAGGGCTCCTCGGGAGGAAGCGCGGTGCACAGAGCAGCACTGGGCAGGCGTCCTTTACCTGAGGAGCTGCTGAGCTGCCTCTTGTTTTCTTTGAGTTGAAGCTCCAAGTTCTTTACCTTGAGCTCAAGCTTCACCTTATCAGACTCTAGAGTCTGAACAACTGAATGCAAGGACTTGGCAGAGGCGTTTTCTCCCCTGAGCACTGTGACCTGAAACACAGTTGTTGAGCTTAGGCTGGGCGTTCGAACAAAGGGAGGCAGCGTGAAAGCTCGCGCACCCTGTGTGGTACTCTACCTCATTTCTCAGTTTCTCCAGCTCGGCATCCTTCTCTGTGAGTAAGGCACTAGTGATGCTGATGGATTTCTGCAAGGAAGCTTTCTCTTCATCTGCGTCTTTTATGAACTTGGATTCTCTAAAAGACCAAAGAGTTAAAAGTTCCACAAATCAACCGAAAGACTGGTCAGTGTACAAGTGTTCTTGAACAAACATATCATTAACGTTAGTTAATGTAAAAATATATATATATATAAAAAAAACAGGGAAGTTTTATAGGGAGTTAAGGCTATTATGCTCACAAAATTTTACTTGAAATTTTACTTACTGTGAGGGGAGAAAAAGTTTACCTATGCATAGACATGCCAGAGTCTGCATATGATTGTATCCATTTGAACTTAAAGAAACAAGTTAATAAATTTGGAAGAGGTAGAATTAAAAAAGAAAAACCGGTTGCACCCTCCCCAATATTCTACTAAAATCTAACCCCGAGTTGAATTTTGTTAATTCTTGAATAAATTATTACCAAGCAATAATAACAATTAAAATGCACACATGCAAAGCAGTTATACAGATGTCATGCAGAGCAGCTTTATGCTGGAAATATCAATTGGTTCTCACTAATTTCAGTAACTTTTTTAGCAAGTTCCAAGAATGGGTGTTTAAGATGTTATGGGCCAAAACAGTAGTAAAGATGATTATTATTACTCAAACTGAAGGATTATTACTTTCCAGCCATAGACTCTGAAGAGGACATTAAATTAGCTCATAGAAATTAGTGGTAATTCCATAAAGGCTAGAACAGAAAATGTTACAATGGTTTTCTCAGGTGCAGAATGAAAGCATGGGGAGCCTGGAAGGAGGAGCTCAGAACGCCTGGTTATGTTCTCAGCCTGACTCAGTACTTGGTTATCAGCAGAGGGCAGGGGTGAGGCCGTTAATGAGTGGGCTGTGGGAGTGGGAAGAAAAAGGGAAAGATGAAGGAGGAACAGGGAGGGACGCAGGACACAGTGAAAAAGCCCAAAGAGCAGGCTAGCATGTGTTTCCATATGTGTACCTATTTAAAGTTGTGGGTTTTTTTTTTTTTTTTTTTTTTTTTTGACAGAGTCTCGCTCTGGTGCCCAGGCTGGAGTGCAGTGGCGTGATCTCTGCTCACTGCAACCACCGCCTCCTGGGTTCAAGCGATTCTTCTGCCTCAGCCTCCCGAGTAGCTGGGATTACAGGTGCACACCACCATGTCTGGCTAATTTTTGTATTTTCAGTAGAGACGGGGGTTTCACCATGTTGACCAGGCTGTTCTCAAACTCCTGACCTCAAGTGATCTGTGCACCTCAGCCTCACAAAGTGCTGGAATTACAGGCTCCCACCACCAGGCCCAGCTAATTTTTGTATTTTTAGTAGAGTCCGGGTTTCACCATGTTGGCCAGGCTGGTCTCAAACTACTGACCTCAGGTGATCTGCCCACCTTGGTCTCCCAAAGTGCTGGGATTACAGGTGTGAGCCACTGTGCCTGGCCATACTTAAAGTTTTGTTATAAAAACTTGCATTTTAAAATGCCAAGGTCATTAAAGAGAAGAGAATGCTGAGAAACTGTCACATACAGAGGAGACGAAGGAGATATGACAACGAACTGCAAGGCAGGATCCTAGTTTGGATGCTGGAACACAAAAGGACATTAGTGAGAAAACTGGTGAAATCTGAATGAAGTCCCTTGTTTCAGTTGAGAGTATGCTGCTCATGGTAATTTCTTAGTTTTTTGATAACTGTGCCAGGGCTGTGTAGGATGTTCAATTAGGGGCATCTGGGGGAAGGTCTATGAGAACTGGATGCACTATGTTTGCAACTCTTCTGGAAATCTGAAATTATTTTACAATAAAACGTTTTCAAGCGACATGCAGTGTGAAACACGAGAGGAAAATGACAAAAATACTTTAGGAAAAACAAAACTGGAGAAAAATTTCCTAGGCTAGGCCACAAGCCATACAACCTAAGATACTGCATTAGCAGAGACAATCATCAGTGAGCGGTCATAACCTTCACAAGAAGTCAAATCACACCTGCTGCTATTCCAAGGAACTGGGAAAATGCAGAGGATGTACTGGTTGTCTGTTTTGGAACCAACTGGAGGAACAGGAAACTGAGGCCCAGGTTAGAAACGGCAGAATGTATGTCTGGTTAGTGAGACCCAAGATATCCGGCACACAAGTTACAGAAATCTCATGACTTATGGCAAATTGAAACTCTACACAAAGATGAAAATATAAGTGTTGTATTTATCTCATTGTGTGGCTTACACTTACACTCCAGAATGAGAAGTAGTAAGAAAAGAATCTGAGACAGAAATTTCTTGAATTAAAAACCCCAACATTACTCACGCACTGGAAACGGGTGGGCATCAGTGCAGGTAAATTACTAAGCTAGTAACACCTTGTTAGGACATAGGCTCTTGCTTAGGTTAAAACAGCAACTTAAATGAAAGGAATGTACAGGCGCTTTTTGCCATCTGGGAAGTAAAAATATCTGATGTCATCCAAAAATGCAATAAAGCCTGGGTTTCAGCTAGGCACGGTGTCTCATGCCTGTCACCCCAGCACTCTGGGAGGCAAAGGCAGGAGGATCGTTTGAGGCCAGGAGTTCGAGACCAGCCTGGCTGACACAGTGAGACTCTCGCCTCTACAAAAACTTAAAAAAAAAAAAAAATAGCTAGGCATGGCAGCGCATGCCTGTTGTCCCAGCTACTAGGGAAGCTGAAGCGGGAGGATCGCTTGAGCCCAGGAGCTTGAGGTTGTAGTGAGCTGTGATAGTGCCACTGCATTCCAGTCTGGGCAACAGAGCAAGACTCCGTCTAAAAAAAAAAAAATTCCCGGGTTTCTTATGTTTCTATTAAACGCATTTAGTAATTGAATGTGTTATAAAAATGATTTCCAGAGCTTCACTTGCTATAAATCCAACTCAAATTTGAAAAATGTAATTTTAAATGTTTTTACTAAAAAAATACCAGGATTTGGGGTTGTCAAGAAGAGATTTAGATTTCCCTATAATCGGGACTCTATTTGGCCAAGATCCCACAGATGCTCAGTGCTGGGGAGGAATAAACAAACCTCCAGCTGGCAGAAGGAAAAAGGGACAGGTGTCCTTCTTGGGGGCCACCAAACAGACTCTGCTCATAATCACATACACACACAACCTCTCAGTCTGGCTGCTTTCTAAGGAGATGGCTGCCAGAATGTTTCTTATACAAGTTACCAACACGTGCATGGTTAAGAAATCTGACTTGTGATTTATATACCAGATGACAGGGTAAGTAGACTCTGGCAGCTCATCTTTGCGACCCATCGTCATCGCTAGCTTCTTAAGCCATCTCTAAGCCCCAATTCCACCATGCAAACCACCAGGAGGGGCGAAAATAAACCATCGTTTATGCCAACATTACTGACATCTGAGTCACAAATTGTATTAAGCCATTAGCTGGAATGACTTGGTATTACCAAAAAAAAAAAATCAAGAAGGGAAAATAAACATAATATGAAAGAAGGGATAGAGGGACCAGAAATCTCTCTCTCTCCATCTCCCAAGGGAACATTTTATCTAGATTCTTTCCTTACTACTTATATAAGAAATAAATTCCAGTAATGAAGCAAATACCTTAAAGTGTTACTGGGCAAGCTTTAAAAATGCAAGATAACAAGAACCAAATATTAGAACCATGAAGAGAAATGCAAATACAGTAAGGAGACTAAATTTGCACTGAAGTTATTTGCTGTACATAGATATAAAAAGGAAATATATGTGTGTGTTTGTGTGTGTGTATATATATATATATACTGCTGAGAATATTTTACAAAACAAAAGCAAGACACAGAGGGACAAAGGCAGCCAAAAAATATATACAACAATTTGGTTTACTAAAAATATATGAAATTTATTTATTATAACGTGGATAGACTTTCTTTAGTCTTACCATTAAAGACACACAGATATAGCAAAGGAAGCAAGAGTAGGAAAGGGAAAAGAGAGGGGTGAAATGAGCATTGGTAAGTAGCGCAAGCTCGGAGACAGTCAGACAGTTAGCAACCCACAGTGAGCCGGATGAGCTGAAGTAGCACGGGACCTCTTCAGAATTTGGGGGCTTTATTGTCAAACCAGTTTTCACTCCTAACAGAAATACTGCATGGGCACTGACAGGATGCATTCTGACTCCAAAAATCCATGCCTTGTGCTTTGGCTTTGGAGCCCCTTCTTTGACACGAAAAAGCCTGGAGAAGGGAGCGAAACCAAACCAGCTCCCAAATCTGCATCAGGCTTCAGAGGCACAGATGAACAGACCCCCCCAGCTCTGGCAATTAGAGCAATGCGAGGCATACCCTGCTTTACCCATTAGACTCTTAGAGCCTGTTTTAAAAGGCTTGCCCAACTTGAGAGTTTTTCAAAGAAATGATTACATTTTTATGCTTGGGGAAAAATTTTTACTACATATTGCTTGCAACTCGGTGTTTAAAGTTACAAAAAAAAAAAAAACAACAGCAAATAAAGAAAGGTTCTACTAATTTCTTTCTGTCTTTCTTTCTTTCATTTTTTGAGATGAGAGTCTCGCTCTGTTGCCCAGGCTGAAGTGCAGTGGTGCAATCTCGGCTCACTGTAACCTCTGCCTCCTGAGTTCAAGCAACTCTCCTGCCTCAGCCTCCTGAGTGGCTGAGATTCCAGGCACGCGCCACCACACCCAGCTAATTTTTGTATTTTTAGTAGAGATGGGGTTTCACCATGTTGGCCAGGCTGGTCTTGAACTCCTGAGCTCAGGTGATCCTCCCAAAGCACTGGGATTACAGGTGTAAGCCACCGTGCCCAGCCAGATTCTACTAACTTCTTAATGATAACCAGTTTAATCCTACAGTTGGGAGTAACGTCTGCACTTGAATATCATGACCATTTGGCCAAAGTGATTCTATTACTCTCTTAACTATGTATATTTAATGACCACTTCTGAATTCAAGTGTTGACTAAGCTCTCAGTTCTTGCATGACCAACTACATTTCAAATACTTCACAATGTAAGTATTTGCAAGGCTTTTTAAATTAATAGTATATTGTTCTTTTTGGTACTCAATGGTTGATACATTTATTTAATCATTACACACAGACCTACATATGAATCCTTCATCAAACTGACTTTTAGAAGGCATCCCAACTATTAGCTAAAATACATTTACATACAGGTTTCTAAAATAGCGATAACTTTCCATAAGCATTAATTAACAAACAAACAAAAAACACTTTTACATATGAGAAACTAGGAGTGAAATTTTCACTCCCAGAAAAAGTTATCTTTATCTATAATTTCTGATGAAAATTAAGAGTGATTTTCAAGAGACATTCCCCTAAACATTGAGGACATAAAACAGGAACAGAGAGAAGTAGGAGAGAACTTCACAGCCCCCAAATTTGTTCCTTTTTTTTTTTTTTTTTTTTTGAGACGGAGTTTTGCTCTTGCTGCCCAGGCTGGAGTGCAATGGCGCGATCTCAGTGCACTGCAACCTCTGCATCCCGGGTTCAAGCGATTCTCCTGCCTCAGCCTCCTGAGTAGCTGGGATTACAGGCGCCCGTCACTACGCCGGCTATTTTTGTATTTTTAGTAGAGACGGGGTTTCACCATGTTGGCCAGGCTGGTCTCGAACTACTGACCTCAGGTGGTCCACCTGCCTTGGCCTCCCAAAGTGTTGGGATTACAGGCGTGAGCCACTGCGCCTGGCCATATTCCATCTTTTTAAGCCATGAAAAACGTCCTATGCCTAACCGTATTTTGAAAGGCATGTAATTTAAAGTTACATAAGGACTTTGTCATTAAGTACGTCATATTTTTTTAAAAATATATATACATAAATAATAAATAAATAAATAAAAAGCTGAAAAATTCACCGAGAAGAGAACCAGCATAAAAATCTGATGACCTGAGTCTTTAGCCTGCACCCATCTTTTATTAGTCCTGAGTTCTCGGCCAACTTGCCTAACTTTTTGAGTTTTAGTTTCATCGTTTTATGTATTTATTTTATTTTAGAGACAGAGTCTCGCTATGTTGCCCAGGCTAGAGTACAGAAGCTCTTCTCAGGCATGATCAGAGTGCACTACAGCACTGAAAACCTGTGCTCAAGTGATCCTCTCACCTCAGGCTCCTGAGTAGCTGGGACTACAGGCATGTGCCACCATGTCCAGCTAATTTCATCATTTGAAAATGCAAGCTCCACCATTATATTTCACTGGGTTGTTTTGAGATGAGATCAATTTGTGAATTATGAAGTGCTACATAAATGTAGGGAGACACCAGTCTTTTTTTTTTTTTTTTTGAGACGGAGTCTTGCTCTGTCACCAGGCTGGAGTGCAGTGGCACGATCTCGGCTTACTACAACCTCCACCTCCTGAGTTCAGGCAATTCTCCCACCTCAGCCCCCCGAGTAGCTGGGACTACAGGCATGTGCCACCATGCCCAGCTAACTTTTGTATTTTTAGTAGAGATAGGGCTTCACCTTTCACCGTGTTGGCCAGGATGGTCTCGATCTCTTGACTTTGTGATCCACCCGCCTCGGCCTCCCAAAGTGCTGGGATTACAGGTGTGAGCCACTGCGCCCGGCCTAATTTTTGTATTTTTAGTAGAGACTGGGTTTCACTATTTTGCCAGGCTGGTCTTGAACTCCTGACCTCAAGTGATCCACCCGACTTGGCCTCCCAAAATGCTGGGATTATAGGTGTGAGCCACAGCGCCTGACCTCTTTTTTTTTTTTTTTTTAAATGAAGACACAGTCTCACCATGTTGCCCAGGCTGGTTTCGAACTCTCATGCTCAAGTGATCCTCCCTCTTTGGCCTCCCAAACTGCTGGGGTTACAGGCATGAACCACCTTGCCCGGTCACAGCTCCCTTGCCAGAATGCTACAGGAATAAGTCCTATTTATTTTTCCACATGTCCTTGATAACTCCTTACATAAGCGTTTAAAAATAAATAAATAAAAACCTTATTTATGTAAAATTAAATACCCTGAGGCCCACAGAGACAGACTGGTGCCTGTAAACAGGAATGAGGTTTAGGCACGACAAACTAGGCATCACTTTTCAAGGTCCCCGGAGAACATCTGGCTGGGCTGAGAATCATTGGTCATGCTATTCTTTAAGGTTTGTTTCTAGTTTTAGTTTTAGTTTTGTTTCTAATAAGCAAAAAAGCACATCACTATTGTGATATGCACCCATTTAGTATTCTGCAGCAACTGCTGGACAGGCTGTGGTTCTCAGCAGTAGCACCCACTAAACCTGCTTGGCACCGTGTAAAGCACATTCTCTAAACAAAAAACGCACATTTTAAAAGATCAGACAGGCCAGGTGCAATGGCTCACGCCTGTAATCCCAACACTTTGGGAGGCTGAGGTGGATGGATCACGAGGTCAGGAGTTAGAGACCAGCCTGGCCAAGAGGGTGAAACCCTGTCTCTACTAAAAATACAAAAATTAACCGGGCGTGGTGGTGCACGCCTGTAATCCCAGCTACTTGGGAGGCTGAGGCAGGAGAATTGCTTGAACCTGGGAGGTGGAGGTTGCAGTGAGAGCCGAGATCATGCCACTGCACTCCAGCCTGGGTGACAGAGCAAGACTCTGTCTCAAAAAAAGAATTAGACAAAAACTTATCAGGGGCATGGCAGTGGTGAAACACACAAGCATTCTGAGTATAAACACCACCTTAGGGAAATTTCATTAAGTATTTCTAAATTTAAAAAAAGGAAAGGTAGCCTGGGCAACATAAAGAGACCTTGTCACTATAAAACAATTTTTAACTGGGCACGGTGGCTCCCACACCTGTAATCCCAATACTTTGGGAGGCTGAGGCGGGCAGATCACAGGGTCAAGAGATCGAGACCATCGTGGCTAACATGGTGAAACCCCATCTCTACTAAAAATACAAAAAATTAGCCGGGCATGGTGGCGGGCACCTGTAGTCCCAGCTGCTCAGGAGGCTAAGGCAGGAGAATGGCGTGAACCCGGGAGGCAGAGCTTGCAGTGAGCCGAGATTGCGCCACTGCACTCCAGCCTGGGTGACAGAGAGAGACTCCATCTCAAAAAAAAAAAAAAAAAAAAAACAAAACTTAAAAGCCGGGTGCGGTGGCTCACGTCTGTAATCCCAGCACTTTGGGAGGCCGAGGCAGGTGGATCACAAGGTCAGGAGATTGAGACCATCCTGGCTAACACGGTGAAACCCGCCTCTACTAAAACCACAAAAATTTAGCTGGGTGTGGTGGTGGGCACCTGTAGTCCCAGCTACTCAGGAGAGGGAGGCAGGAGAATCGCTTGAACCCAGGAGGCAGAGGTTGCAGTGAGCCGAGATCGCGCCACTGCACTCCAGCCTGGGCCACAGAGTGAGACTCCCTCTCAAACAAACAAACAAAAAATTAGCCAGGTGTGGTCACGCATGCATGCCTGTAGTCCCAGCTACTTGGGAGGCTGAGAGGTGGGAAGATCAATTGAGCCCAGGAGATTGAGGCTGCAATAAGCCATGATTGAGCCACTGTACTCCAACCAGGGCAACAGAGCAAGACCATGTCTTGAAAAAAAATAAATTTAAAAAAGAAAATGCATCCCTGGACCAAGGCCTAATGTCCTTTAGAATGTGGCTAATGGAATCCAAATAGCTAAATCTAAATAAATAAATAAAACCCTCAACTCCTAAGCAACTGCCATGCTGGCAGAGGAGACAATGCTGCGTAAAACACACACCTCAGTAGGTTGGTGGGGAAACCTGCTCTGCCCTGACGAGTGGGAATAAAATACTTCATGAGAGCATGGAGAAATTACTGGTTATGCTACTGTTTAAGGTTTGTTTTTATTTCTAGTTTTGTTTCTAACAAAAAGCACATCACTGTTGTGATATGTACCCATTCTGTAGCGCCCGCTGGACAGACTGTGGTTCTCAACAGTAGCACCCCCTAAACTTGCTTGGCACTGTGTAGCACAGACATTCTCTAAACAAAAACTGCACGTTTTAAAAGAGCAGACAAAGACTTATCAGCTTATAGAAGCAACAGGCTTCTGTACAATTATTTCTGTGGGCCGTGTTCTTCCTTACTGGAAAATACTGAAAAAGTTATCCTAGTTTTTAATTTGAGTATCATTTGACTATCATGGGAGAGTAAGTAAAAGCCTTTTAAAGCAAATAGAAACATTTTTTTTTTTTTTTTTTTGAGACGGAGTCTCACTCTGTACCCCAGCTTGGAGTGCAGTGGCCAGATCTCGGCTCACTGCAAGCTCCGCCTCCCGGGTTCACGCCATTCTCCGGCCTCAGCCTCCCGAGTAGCTGGGACTACAGGCGCCTGCCACCTCGCCCAGCTAGTTTTTTGTATTTTTTTTTTAGTAGAGACGGGGTTTCACCGTGTTAGCCAGGATGTTCTTGACCTCCTGACCTCGTGATCCGCCCGTCTCGGCCTCCCAAAGTGCTGGGATTACAGGCTTGAGCCACCGCGCCCGGCAACAGAAACATTTAAAATGACATTACCCATTATTAGTGAACATTAAAATTTTTATATAATTGAAATCAGTATTTACATCCAGATCAATAACTATATGTAAGACTCTAGTATTTTTAGTTACTGAAACTAGGAGATAACAGTGGTCTAACATGAGACAATCTGATTTTAGATCACTTCTGAGTGAAAGCAACTGAACATGGCTTACAAATAAAACTACTGTGAAACTTCTGCAAATGAATTTTCTTTTTTTTTTGAGACGGAGTCTCGCACTGTCGCCAGGCTGGAGTGCAGTGGCGCTATGTTGGCTCACTGCAACCTCCGCCTCCCAGGCTCAAGCGATTCTCCTGCCTCAGCCTCGCAAGTAGTTGAGATTATAGGCGCCCGCCACTATGCCCGGCTAATTTTTTGTATTTTTAGTAGAGATGGGGTTTCACTATGTTGGTCAGGCTGGTGTCGAACTCCTCGTGATCCGCCAGCCTTGGCCTCCCAAAGTTCTGGGATTACAGGTGTGAGCCACTGTGCCTAGCCCTGCAAATGGATTTTCATATTTTGTCAATTACAAGTACCAAACTATCACAATGCCATTTTCCGAATATAAGAAGGTCACTTGTTTTCTGCTATAAGTTACTACACATACCATGTTCTGACATCTTATTAAACACACACACATACAACAGTAAACAGAAAGCTTACCTTTTTTTCATTTCTAACAACTGATTATTGAGCACAGATCTTTCTTCTTCCAGCTAGGAAAAAAACATAAAAAACTTTCGTTCATAACCAGGCCACAGAGAGGCATATTTTTCATCCCACATGTCATCCCCCAGGTTCCAGGATACCTAAAGCCACTGGCTTTCCTCACCAGCAATGAAGAGTAGCAAGTGGTCACTCTATTGCAGGATATTGTTATTAATATATAAATCACTTATGACCTCAGTAACTCCCCCTCCTCAGGGATCTGAGAGTTAAAAATATTAAATAATAACACCTTGAACACAACAAAGCACCACATCTTAAGTATTCAAAATTTTTTTTTTTTTTTTTGATACGGAGTCCCACACTGTCGCCCAGGCTGAAGTGCAGTGGCACAATCTCTGCTCATTGCAAGTTCCACTTCCCGGGTTCACGCCATTCTCCTGCCTCAGCCTCCTGAGTGGCTGGGACCACAGGCGCCCGCCACCATGCCCAGCCAATGTTTTGTATTTTTAGTAGAGATGGGGTTTCACTGCGTTAGCCAGGATGGTCTCGATCTCCTGACCTCGTGATCCACCTGCCGGCCTCCCAAAGTGCTGGGATTACAGGCACAAGCCACAGCTCCCGGCCAGCATTCAAAAATGTTAATTGGCCAGGCGCAGTGACTCACACCTGTAATCTCAGCACTTTGGCGGGGCCAAAGTGGGCGGATCACCTGAGGTCAGGAGGTCGAGCCCAGCCTGACCAACATGGTGAAAGCCCATCTCTACTAAAAATATAAAAATTAGCCGGGTGTGGTGGTGTATGCCTATGATCCCAGCTACTAGGGAGGCTGAGGCAGGAGAATGGCGTGAACCCGGGAGGCGGAGCTTGTAGTGAGCTGAGATCGAGCCACTACACTCCAGCCTGGGCGACAGAGCGAGACTCCGTCTCAAAAAAAAAGATTGTTAAATGAGTGAGTAAAGCTCCACTGCTAACATTCTAGTTCCTCTACTTAAACCGCAAAGGTCAAGTGTCACTAAATGGCAGAGGTTAGGAGCAGGCTACCTACTCTCTATGGGCCTCAATTTACTCATCCATCAATTCAACACACATTCACTGAATGGTTACTATATTCAAGCATTATTCAAGTATTTGTTTCTCACGTATAAAACAAAGAGGTTACAAAAGAATTTCCAGTGGTTCTTTATTATCCCATGAAGGATAAAAAACAAAAGATTCAGGTAGTTAATCTTGTGAAGGAAGAATCATCTCTGCCTCCAACTTGCACTACCCAGTTTGGCCAAATACCACCAGTTTCAACTCACACTGTTTTTTTTGTTTTTGTTTTGATACAGAGTCTTGCTCTGTTGCTGAGGCTGGAGTGCGGTGGTACAATCTTGGCTCACTGCAACCTCCGCTTCCCAGGTTCAAGTGATTCTCCTGCTTCAGTCTCCCAAGTAGCTGGGATTACAAGTGCCTACCACCATGCCCAGCTAATGTTTGTATTTTTAGTAGACAGGGTTTTGCCATGTTGGCCAGGCTGCACACTGTTAATTTTTTAAATAAGGGTAAAAAAGCTCTTATATGTTTTTCTTAAATAAAAATATAACAGCAAAGATTATGTAATAGTTTCCAACAGCCTAGCATTTAAGTTACCAGCTCACTCTACATAGTTATAGTCATTATTAGTTATGTTCATGCTTTGCTATAAGGTCTTACTTTTAAAATTCTTAAATATACATAACACATGTTCTGAACATAAATATCCCTTTACCATGAAATCTATAGAGGTTAACATAGTTTTATAGACTCTTTGATGTCCTAGCCCATTAAGATATATGTTTTTTCTGCATGACTAATTCACAGAAATATTTAGAAATTTTTAGAATGAAAGGAAGAAAAAAAGAGTGGGAGGCAAACTTTTAAAAAATGAAATGAGAAAGAGAACATCTGGAGAGTGGGATATGGAGATGAGAAGGGTTTTCATTTTGGTCTTTATGCCCTTTGTACAGTTTATATTTATTCTTTAAAGAAGGAATCGTTTTAGTTTTAAAAAAAAGTTAAAAAAAATGAATACTTAAAACTGGAAAATTTTTACAATGAATATACAAATGGACAAAGAGCATGGCAGATAATTCACAAAAAAGAAAATAAAAATCATTAATGAACATTTGAAAAATCATTCAACCCTACAAACACACAATACACAAAGATTCTCCCTCTTTCTCAGAGGGTCCATGTGCCTGAATTTCCAAGGAAGAGATGGTTGCTATTTATTATACTGATCTTTATAGAAAACAATGTTTTTCTTCTTCTGGTCCAGGATTATTACCCAATCTAGGAGATAACAAGCTGCATCTAGCAGTTTTCTTTTTTTCTTTTTTTTTTAAAGATAGCGTTTTACTCTTGTTGCCCAGGCTGTAGTGCAATGGCACGATCTCACCTCACTGCAACCTCCGCCTCCTGGATTCATGTGATTCTCCTGCCTCAGTCTCCTAAGCAGCTGGGATTACAGGCACCACCATGCCTGGCTAGTTTTTCATATTTTTAGTAGAGACAGGGTTTCACTATGTTGACCAGGCTGGTCTCAAACTCCTGATCTCAGGTGATCCACCCGCCTCAGCCTCCCAAAGTGTTGGGATTACAGGTGTCAGCTCCCGCACCAGGCCCTTCTTTTCTTTTTTTCTGAGATGGAGTCTCACTCTGTCACCTAGGCTGGAGTACAGTGGCGCGATCTTGGCTCACTGCAACCTCTGCCTCCCAGGTTCAAGCGATTCTCCTGTCTCAGCCTCCCGAAGAGCAAGGATTACAGGCGTGTGCCACCACACCCAGCTAACTTTTGTATTTTTAGTAGAGATGGGGTTTCACCATGTTGGACAGCCTGGTGTCGAACTCCTGACCTCAGGTGATCCACCTGCCATGGCCTCCCAAACTGCTGGGATTACAGGTGTGAGCCACCGCACCCAGCCAGTTCCTCATTCTTGCCTTGTATTTTGTGGCCTTGACCGTTTTGAAGAGTAGAAGCCAGTTATTTTGTAGAGTATCAGTTTGGATTCGTCTGATGTTTCCATGTGATTAGAGTCAAATCATGCACTTTTTGGCAGAAATACCACAGAAGTAATCCTGTGTCCTTCTCAGTAGATGATATCAGGAGGTACACACTGTTAATTTTTGGTAGTTTTTTGTATTTTTAGTAGAGATGGGGTTTCACCATGTTAGCCAGGGATGGTCTCGATCTCCTGACCTCGTGATCCACCCGCCTCGGCCTCCCAAAGTGCTGGGATTACAGGCTTGAGCCACCACGCCCGGCCCCTAGATCATGTTTTTTAAAAAGTCCATTCTGCTAGTCTCTGCCATTTATTCAGAGTGTTCAATCCATTTATGTTTACTGTGTTTTTGAATAAGGTTACATACTGTTTTGACTCCATTTATGTGACCTACTAAAAAAGGCAAAACTATTGGACCAGAAAAGAGATAAGCGTTTTCAGGGAGTGAGAATGAACTGACTATAAAGGAGGATAAGAGAACCTTTTGGTGTGAAGGAAATCTTGACTGTGGGGTCAGTTTTATGACTGTATATATTTGTCAAAACTCACCAAACTATACACTTATAAAGGGTAAATTTTATTTGATGTAAATTAGACCTCAATAAAGATGACTCTGAGAAAAAGAAAGCAAGTTGGAGTAATTTGTGCAATACGGCTTTTGTAGAAAACAAAAACAATGTATGCACATATGCATTTGCATATGCTGGTATCCACATGAGGAACACCAAGGAAAAATATACCATTTATAATGTAGCTTCAATGAAATGGCAATGAAGAGTAATAACTTTTAAATTACACATATTTGTATTGTTTCATGTTACAAATGTATTATATTTCTAATTTAAAAATAACATTAAAATTTAAAATAAATAATTCTTATTTCTTTGGAAATAAAAACTTTATAGATGAAATGACAGGATATCTAGGATTTAGGATTTGCTTCACAACGCTCAGGGTAGAGCTGGGTGTGGTGGCTCATGCCTGTAGTCCCAGCTACTCAGGAAGCTGAGGCAGGATTGCTTTAGCCTTATAGCTGGAGGCTTCAGTAAGCTGTGATCATGCCACTGCACACTAACCTGGGTGACAAAGCGAGATTAACTCAAAAAAAAAACCCAAAAAAACAAACAAACAAACGCAGGGCATACAAGGTAGAGAGGATGAATGGGAGTATAGCAGAGACGAGTGGCCAAGAGTTAACTGCTAACGGAATTTTATACACAGAGATTCATTGTACTGCTCACTCGGCTTCCGTATATGCTTGAAACTTTTCATAATAAAAGGTTAAAAAGGAACATGGATATGTAAAGGGGAAAAAAGGGAGAGTTGAAGAAGAATATTTCAGAGAACGACGTTACAGTGAAAGTGATGCCCAAATAATCATAGTTTGGGGAACACTGGACCGGAAAATCTCCAAGAGCTCATCTATGCATAACCCTCTTTTGTAAATAAACATGGTGGGTACTTTGTTTTATGTCTGTCAGCTACGCTAAGAAAAATAGTAGCTCGGGTGAAATGAAGGACATGTAGAAGTCCGTAGTCATAACATATACAACTTCTGCTTTGTCGGCTCAGTAAAACCACTTGAATACAAATCTCCAGAGAGAGAAGCGCCTTTCTGTTTTGTGTACTGTGATCTCCTCTATGTTTGGAACACTGACGGGCACACAGTAGGCACTCAGTAACTATGTACTGCATGAACGAATGTGTCATAGTCAGTAAGCTGGTGCTCTCAATGGGTATAGTTAGTAGTGGCACTCAGAAGCCAGGATTCTCACCGAATGAAGAACTTTCTGCTCAAGTGAGGTGTTCACATTTGGGCTATTTTAGTCTCTTCTCGAACCAAGCAAGTGTTCTGAGGCCCAAAATAGCAGCTCTACCTTGACAGCACAAAACCCATTCCCTGTGTGTGAGAAATTCTAGTCTCGCCTCCCACACACAGACTTCTGCTCCTGGAAGTGGAGAAGGTAACGGGGAAAACGGAAGAGGAAGACGCAGTCATTTTTGTATGGCAAAGCCCTTTCAGG